TTGTCTTCGGAGCCCGCGCATGTTTGTCTCGCATCTTCGCCGCGGAATCTGAAGTGCATGAGAAGGCACTTGTACTGGGGCCCGCGGCATGGATTTAGATTTGGATTTGCACTGCGATTATTACACCAGGTGTTTTCAGTAGGACTCCCACGCAGAGCGTAGCCAGCAGGATCCCCGCGCAACGCGTTGTCAATAGCTTCTTGCACAGATGTTTCCCAAGTCGATTACCATGCTTTTTTGTATATACAACAAAAACGGAACAACAACGCGTATCCCATATAATGGGTTTCCAACCGGATTCGTATACGACGGGCTTCCATTCATATTCCGATACCGTGGGTCTGCATTGCGCATTTGGTTTCCCAGAGGAATCCTATGCAATGGGTTGCCGAACGGACTCCCATGCAATGAGTCCCCAATCGGGTTCGTATACAACGGTTTGCCCATGGGGTTCCCGTGCAATGATCTTCATGTTGGATTCGTATACAATTGGCTTCCGTTGCGAACTCTACACGATCGGTCTCCAGTATGATTCCTTCGCGAAGGTGCCCCGCCAGGATTCCGACGCGAGGGGGCCCAGATAAGGATTCTTACACGAGGGTTTCCCAGTGATATTCCCACGTGAAGGATCTCCGATCGGATTCCGCAGTGGGCATCCAATCTGCTTGGTTTCCATGCAATGGAGGTCCAACGGGATTCCAGCGCGCCTGGTTCGCAGATGGATTCTCGAGCAGTAGTGGTTTCCAGTCGGACTCTTGCGCGCCGAGGTTCCAGTGGGGGGTTCGACGCCGCGGGTCTCCGATCAAATCCAAGGCAATGGGTTTCCGCGGACATTCTCATGCGCGGAGCTTTCAGTCGGAGTCCGGCGCGTTGGATTTCCAGTGTGGTTCCTAGGCGCTGGGTCTCACATCGGATTCGCGTGAACGCAGTGCCGACGCGGGCTCGGAGTCCTGCGCGACGTGTTCAGGGCTGGATTTCTTGACGAAGGGCTTCCGCTTGGAATCCTATGCGACGGGTGTCCAATGGGGTGCCTACACAACGGATTTCCATGAGGATTGCTATGCGCGGAATGCCGCAACGGCTCATGCAAACTAGCCTTCCGACAGGGTTCTGACGCAATGGGTCACCCGTCTGATGTCTGCGCGAAGGAGTTTCTGACGCGGTTCCTGCGCGATAGAATTATCGGGGGATTTCGGCGGGGCTCCTTGGGGGCCGCGCGACGTGTGAGGTGCGGGGCGAATGCAGTGCAGCGGCGGCGCGTGGGCGCAGCCGCTGGGGCCCGCGGTGGAGCCCCGCTGAGAGATGCGAAGCTTGTGGGAGGGCGAGAAAAAACCATGAACAATCATTGTTCTTATTTTTTTTAGAAGGGATTCTTAGCATGGCGTTCTTTCTCGCGCGTCGGCCCAGACAGCGCGGCGCTCCCGCCGTTGAGCGCGCGGCGGGGAAGCCGCGCAGGCGCGCGCAGGTTAGTCTCGCATCCGTGCCGCGCAGGCTCAAATTCAAAAGAGGGCGCCTGCGCGGGCGCCCGTGACGTGGATTGAGCTCGGAATTTTCGCGTGGATTCCCGCCGAGCAAGTGTTCAACAGGACCCCCGCGCGACGCGTGGCCAACAGATTTGCCCGCGCAACGCGTTGTCAGTTGGGCTCCCAGGCCGCGGGTGCCCAGTGGGATTTCTGCGCGATGGGTTGCCAATGCGATTCGCGTGCGCTGCGTCTCCATTAGGGCGCCTGCGCAATTGGTTTCCAAACCTGACCTTCGTGTGCGATTGGCTATATCACCCTTGTGCTGTTCTCTGACGAGCGTCCGGCGAAATTGTCGTCGTCGTCGTCTTCTTTGGCGTCGTCGTCGTTTCCGTCATCGTTGTCGCCGTGGTCGTCGTTCGTCCTCCCTCGTCGTCGTCGTCGTCGTCGGCCGTCGTCGGCGTCTCGTCGTCGTCCCTCCTATTTTGTCGCCGTCGTCGTCGTCGTCGTCGTCGGCGTCGCCGTCCTTCTTTTTTCGTCGTTCGCGTCGTCGCCGTCCTCCTTCCTCCTTCGTCGTTGTCGTCGTTGTCGTCGTTGTCGCCGTCGTCGTCCTCCCTCCTCGTCATCGTCGTCGTCGTCGTCGTTTTCGTTGGCGACGTCGTCATCGTCGTCGTCGTCGTCGGCGTCTTCGTCTTCGTCGTCGTTGTCGTCGTCGTCGGCGTCGGCGTCGTCGTCGTCGTCGGCGTTGTTATCGTCGTCGTCGTCGGCGTCGGCGTCGTCGTCGTCGGCGTCGTCGTCGGCGTCGTCGTCGTCGTTGTCGTCGTTGTCGAACTCGTTGGAGACGTCGTCGGTGTCGTCGTAGTCGGTGTCGTCGTCGTCGGTGTCGTCGTTGTCGCTGCCGTCGTCGGCGTCGGTGTCGCTGCGTAGTGCCATTCGGTACCTGCCGTCACGGTCTCAGAAGGTCTCGCGACCAAGTTGCGGGTGGGAGGGTGGGGTGTTTGCACGAGCAGTGGAGAGGACAGCTGCAAGACAGTCAAAGT